TTCCTAGAACTTCATACAAATTGAATCATAGAGCATATGGTCTTTTGTGTTTAACTCCTTTCACTCCACATGTCTTTAAGATTTATCTATGTTGTGTGTGCTATATATAGTAAGCCTTGAAATCAGAGAGTATATCCTTGTCCTATTTAAGGATGGGTTTGGGTATTCCAGGTCCTTCACCTTTCTTTGACTTTGCCTCTTCAAAGGCCTGCAGAGATTTCTGTTAGAATCTGTAGATATATTGGGAAGAACTGGCATCTTAACAGTAATGAGTTTTTCAGTCTGTGAACATGGTATTATTTTCCATATATTTCGGTCTAATTTAATTTTCCTTTGCAGTGCTTTATAGTTTTCAGCATACAGATCCTGCACATCTTTCATTAAATTTAACCCAAAATTTTTTTATGTTACTGTAAATGAATTTGTAGTCTGTGACCTGATTTCACTTATTAATAGTTTTATAGCCTTCGTAGGATTACTCATTTCTGGTTATAAGTTCATGTTATTAGTACATAAAGACCACTTTTCTCCTCTCTTTCCAATCTTTATGCCTTCCCTTTTTCTTGTGTTATTACTGTGATTGTACCCTTCAGTATAATACTGAATTGAAATGGTAAAAGCAGAAATCTTGTTTCTGATCTTAGGTAGAAAACATTGACTATTATGTTACCTATAGATTTTTGTAGACGCCCATAATCAGGTTTAAGAGTCCCCTTGTATTTTTAGGTGGTTTGGGACTTTTATCATGAATGGATTTTGGGGTGTTTTTTTTCTTTTTTTGTTTTGTTTGTATTTTCTTAATATGGTGAATTATGTTGATTGATTCTCAGCTGCTTAAATCAAACTTAAATTCCTGGATATCAGCTCCACTTGTTTTTGATTATTGTCCTTTTTATACATTGTTAGGTTAAATTCCCTAACAAATTTTTTAGGAAATTTTGCTTCTATGTTTGAACATTAGAAATATTAGTCTTTAGTTCTGCTTTCTTGTTTTTTGTGTTTGTCTGGATTTGGGAATTAGGGGATAGCATTGGCCCTAACACATAATTTGGGAAGATTCCGATAAGGTTGCTACTGTTTCTTCCTTGAGAATTCATCAAAGAAGCAGTCTAGACCTAGAGTCCGGGGGTTAGGGGAAAGAGGATTGGGGGAATTATAAATTTGATATAAATAGTAGATATGGCAGTATCCAAAATTTCTGTCTTCTGGTGTATCTTTTGAGGGAATTTTTCCAGTGCATCTAAATTGTCAAGTGGTTTGGCATAAAATAGTCCAAAAATGGCCTTATTCTCTTACTGTCTGTAGATTTTGTAGTGATAGTCCCTATTATTTGATTTTGGTAATGTGTCTTTTGTTTCTTCATGAGTCTGGCCTAGAGGCTTATCACTTTTATTACTTCATTAATCAGCTCTCATGATTGATTTCTCTGTTTTTATATTTCATTAATTTCTGCTCTTTATTCTTTCCTTCTATTTTGAGATTTCTGATTTGATGTAGGACTTAAGATCACCAATTTTGGATTTTTTGCCACTAGCATAAGCACTGAAAGTAGTAAACACAGCTTTAGTTACATCCTACAGATTTTAATAATTTGTGTTTTCATGATTCCATTCAGAATGTTTTTTAATTTTTCTTGATTCCTTCTTTGGCCATGAATTATATAGAAACATATTGTTTTACTTTCTAAATATTTGGGATTTTCCTAGTTATTGTTAGTTGATTTCTAATTCAATTCCATTTAGAAAACGTATCTTGAATTTCAGTCTTTTAAATTTATTGACACTTATTTCATGACCTAGCACATCCTGGTGAACTTACTGTGTGCACTTGAATGTGTATTTGTCATTACTAGGCATCATGTTCTTTTTTTTTTTTTTTAATATTTTATTTATTTGACAGACAGAGATCACAAGTAGGCAGAGAGGCAGGCAGAGAGAGAGAGGAGGAAGCAGGCTTCCTGCCGAGCAGAGAGCCCGATGTGGGGCTCGATCTCAGTACCCTGGAACATAACCTGAGCCGAAGGCAAAGGCTTTAACCCACTGAGCCACCCAAGCGCCCCTCACGTTCTTTTAAATGTCACATATATCAGGAATGATAATGTTCAGAACATCTTGTCTTTCCTTATTTTTTTCTGGTTATATGGGTTGCTGAGAAAAGGGTGGAGAAACAAGCTTAACCCTCTAATGGCAGGTTGCGTAAAGGAATCATTGCAGAGGGCCATGCATACGATGAGTATAGTAATTTGTGACCATATTTTATAACCTACCACAGGATTCATTTTACCTCTTCTCTGTTTTTGTATATATTTTAAATTTTCCATAGTAAAAATTTCAAAACCAAAACCTCTCAGGTAATGAGGTGTCCCTTATTTCGGCGGGGTGGGGGTACATGCCACATGCAGATATATAAAAAATATTTAGGATTTTTATTTTCACCTCATCATTTAAAGAATTGTATTTTGGCATATGTTTTAGAGTTGCATGGTATATCCAGTTGCATGGTATACATGGTATATCCAGTATAGTCATATATATAATTTTAAAATACAGATACCTGTGTATGGAGGGGAATTTTTTATTTTTGGCTATTCTTGTTTAAAAATAGTTCATCCCAATGGAGGTACCAGTTTTGTTCCAGAAGTCATGGTATCATTTGGATAGTCTTGTAAACTTTATCATAAATTTGACATTAAAAGTTTTTGTGTGATACTCATTTTTTTTTAAAGATTTATTTATTTGAGAGAAAGAGATAGTGACAGAGGTAGCAAGAGAGAGCACAAGCAGGGAGGAGAGGGAGAAGCAGGCTCCCGCTTAGCAAGGAGCCTGACATGGGGCTCTATCCCAGGACCCTGGGATCATGACCTGAGCTGAAGACAGTCACTTAACCAACGAAGCCACCCAGCCGCCCTGTGTGATACTCATTTTTAAGTGTTTTCTCAGGTTTTTAATTATGAAGTGTTTTTATACTCTTAAAACTTTTGCTGTCAGAACTTAAATTTTTAAGTTTCTGTTTCAGAGAAGGCTGTACCTATAATCCCAAAATTAGATAGGTCAGCACTGTGAGTTTAGAAGGAAACAAAACAATTTTAACAAGAGGCAAAAGAAATGGTGTCTTAAGTTTGGTTCCCTGTGTAAGTTATGAAATCAATAGCATTTAGTATTAATCAGTAGTAAAAAAGGGGGCAGGCAGTAATGTATTATCTACCCTTACTGTTCCTCCTGAAAACCTTAACCTTTTCCATCTGGAATGTTTACTTCAAGAATCATTTGAAATAAGAAAAGCAAAGGGAATACTATGATTGGTATATAGAAAATAAAGTAAGTCATTTACATAAAACCTGTACAAGCCTCAATTCCCTTCTCAGCCCTATCCACCCAACTTCTATTCCATGTTAAGAACAAGGAGTAAATCACAAAAAATACATTCCAAGTGTTAGTTTTTAACATTTACAGTTCTCAGATTCAATTTCCTTTTTTGCCCATCTGGTACTGTTAACTTTCTCATATTAGAAAATGTTATGTTGTAAGTTTTAGCTTTGGCATTCTGTATGTTAAGAATATATTTATGTTTGTGGATTTGAAAGAATATATTCTTAAGGGCTTTTTTTAAAGTGAAAACCACTATTAACATTATATGGTGATTATTTACTATATCATAAGGCAAGACTGGACAGAGGTTTTTTAGAGGTTTAAATACATATGTTTTTTAGAAGGGTTTTTTGTTTGTAAACCTTTAGATAATCAAAAACTTGACTACATTTCCCATTTCTTGAGTATAATGTGATTAAGATTTTCCTTAATCTAAAAGCAACTTTACAAAATCTAGTAACATTCATATTAAAAAATAATTTCTAGTTAGTTCTCTTCTACTGGCCAACACCATTAGGTAGGAGAATAAAAATTTCTGGCTTTTAAAAGTAGGGTTTATTTATTAAAGCAATACAGACAGTGATATATTAGGATATTAGCAAGTTATTTGAAGGAGTCCCTCATGAGATCTCTTAAAGACCAGAACTAAGAAACATGGGCTGAATGATAATACAATTAGACTGATTTGTAATTTGTTTAACTCAATAAACACAGATTGAATTCTTGTCATCAAGAAGGATTTAGCATTCAATCGTTTTTTTTAATCAGTAATTTAAATGAGGACATAACATGTTGTGTTGTCTTTTTAGTTCACAGACGATGTGAATCTGGGACACATATTTTGATAAATTAGGTGATATTTCTTTAGAAAACAAAATGATCTTGATGAGTTAGAGAAGGATATCTCAATAAGATACCTGTTAATAAAACAAATGTAAAGGGCGCCTGGGTGGCTCAGTGGGTTAAGCCGCTGCCTTCGGCTCGGGTCATGATCTCAGGGTCCTGGGATCGAGTCCCGCGTCGGGCTCTCTGCTCAGCGGGGAGCCTGCTTCCCTTCCTCTCTCTCTGCCTGCCTCTCTGCCTACTTGTGATCTGTCTGTCAAATAAATAAATAAAATCTTTAAAAAAAAAAAAAAAAAAAAAAAAAACAAATGTAAAGTCTTTTACTTTGCCCCCAAAAGATAATTTAACAATACATCATAAAAAAGAAGATATTTCCCATTATATTTCAAAAAAGCAAGACTCAGAATTATATTCACAATGAGATCTTAATTTTGTGTTAAAATACATATATTAGGAGGTATAATATACAGCAGTTCCGGATGATATGATTAGGAGTGTTTTCTTTTCATTTTGCCTCTCTATTTCCAAATATTCTACAGTGAGAATGGATCTTAAATAAGACACACTGAAGATAAGAAAGTATTTAATGTTTTTGAACCCCAATTTGTAGTCTGAGCATATGTTAACTTATACTGTCACAGTGAAAATCTCCCCCTCTTTTATTTGTCTGTAAAAACAGTCACCATGGCACAAAAGTCAGCATCAGCTACAGTGTTCTCAGTGAGCTCTTTTCTCACTCCCCTACCATGAACCCATTGACTCTTTTCATTTTTTTTCTCTTTATCAAAGGTTGAATTAATAAAGGGGAATTTACAGAGTGTCGGACTTACACTTCGTCTTGTCCAGTCAACTGACGGCTACGCTGGGCATGTCATAATTGAGACGGTGGCCCCAAACTCGCCTGCTGCACTTGCAGATCTTCAGCGGGGAGACCGACTGATTGCTATTGGAGGTAATTGTGCAACACACTTCACACTTACAGAGAAATCAGTGAGCAAATGTGGGAAGTTTCCCTGTCTTCATTCTTTCTATGAGCACATGTTACTTTTATAATGGAAAGAGAATAACTTTATTAAAAATAAAAATCTGAAGGAAGCCTTAATTTAAAACACATATGCCGGGGTGCCTGGGTGGCTCAGTGGGTTAAAGCCTCTGCCTTCTGCTCAGGGTCCTGGGATTGAGCCCCGCATCCGGCTCTCTGCTCAGCAGGGAGCCTTCTTCCCCCTCTCTCTCTGCCTGCCTCTCTGCCTACTTGTGATCTCTGTCAAATAAATAAATAAAATCTTTAAAAAACAAAACAAAACAAAAAAACCACATATGCCATTTTTAGTCCTTAGGTATAAATCTGTAAAATACTTCATCTTTATACCACTCTTCTGTAAACTTCTCTAATTTTCCTTTCCATCCCACCTTCTACTCCTCTAGTGTTTAGTGAATATGAATATGGTCAACAGTTCCTTCTGTATAACCACCTAACTACTCTGGGCCTAAAATTGACTGTATTAATACTGTGACCCCCATCACTTAGAACTAGATAATGAACAGGAGGGAGACTAATATTCCTTGTCCAAGAGGGCACACTTGAACTGTCTGTGGCCCCGTATTGATGGCTCTGTATTGTCCCTGATTGACCAGCCATTTGGTAACATGCAGTCATTAGAGTACAGCCTGTATCACTATTGCTCTGGAAGAATGTGTCACCTGCATGCCTTCCTATCAGTTGGATAGATTACATAAATTCTGTTGATAGGCAGGTTATTTGCTTGGATGTTTATGAATAAGCAGTAGGACTCCCTGTACACGCCAATGGGGAAAAAGTCCAAACCTTTCAGACCTTTGTAGTACCTGCCCCGCCCTCCCACCCCCCATTCTAGGCTTGTCAAGAGATTTCTTAAACATATGGTTGGTCACAGCCGAGCTTCCAAAAACAATATGGTATATTCTTTCACAGCTAAGATAATAAAGAAGGTAGATCAGTTCCTAAAGCAGGGAGTTTTCCTTTGTTACATGTTAAACCCTTGATTCAAAACCATCATGACAGTAAAATAATGACAGTCATTTAGTTGCACACCTGGAAACTCAACTAAGTCCATATTTCACATGGAAATCCCTTTGGTAGGTCATAAATAGTGATTCTCAAACCTTTTGACTGTATTCCAGTCATCCAGGCTTGGTGTTAAAATAGGGATTCTGCTTCAGCAGACCTGTACAGGGGCCCAAGATTTTGCATTTCTCAGAAGCCCCCGGATGCTGCTGCTCTTCATAGGCACTGAGGATGGCAGAGCCATAAAACAGACCCCCGCTGTTACATAGTTGTTTAAAATAAACACAACAGTTACTCCCTCTCAGCTAAAAACTAGAATTTGGTATAAATTCTTTATATCCACTTAACCCTTTGTTCTGGTTTTACCTACAAGATATATTTTCTTTTTTATGACCTTTTATGAAAGGTTTTTTTGTTTGTTTTTAGTTACACATGTAGTAAATATTCTCCAAAATAAATATCTGTTCTCAAAAAGAAAGCAATATAAATGTGTACAGAGTGGAAAAACTAAAGGTCACCCCTTTATAGCTAAACTTTATAAAAACAAAATATTTATGGAGATAAGGAGCAGGTATAATATTTTCTATACCTATAATTTGTTCGTACCGGTATATAATTTTTTGAATATTTAGTAATGGGATTGGTGGTAGTCGAAATAAGATCGGCATAGTGCTTATTATATTTGAAGCCCAATGATGGAGTTCACCTTTCTTCTGTTTCCTCTGTTTTTGTATATATTTGTAAAATTGCAAAAGAAAAGGAACCCAGATTTGGCCAGCTAGCCCTGAGAGGAGCAGTGGTTGTCTCCACAAAGCTCCTGGTGGTTGGGGAAGAGATGAGGCCAGGGTTTAAGTCACAAAGAACGAGTTTAGATTAAGTTGAAGTTTTCCTACAGCTCAGTAGAGGGACTTACTTTTCATTGTACATATGTCAGACTACAATTTTGTGGAACTAGAGAGAAAGAGCAGGCTGGATGAATCATGGAGAGAGCCACATTAGAAACTCTGGATTCCAGTGTGATGAGTTTGTACACTAAAGGTTTCTGAGCCAAAGCTTTGGGGAAATTGGGGAGCAGTATGAAAACAGGGACAGTCTGAGGGGTCACAGCAAGGAGCTGTGGATTCTTGTAACCGAAGCCAGTGATCAGGTGGATCTGAACAGGGGAGGAAAAGGACTAGAACGCTGACAGAACTAAGAGCTCCTGGGATCTGGGGGCTCAGCTGTCTCTGGGGTCCGGATTGGGTTAATTGGGAGGGTGGCAAGTTGATTCACATCCTGAGGACAGGAGAATGAGAAGATCAGAGAAGAGATTTTAACTAAGCTGAATTTGTTATGTCGAGGAAGCATCTAGGTGCTGATCTCCGAAAGTAATCAGGGATGTAGGTAAAGGATGAAGAAGAGGGGAGACCAACCAAAGAAAAAGTTGACAGTTGCAACCACTGAGATGGTTGTGATCTAGAGAACTAGGACATATAAAACCATGGGGACGTTTGGTACAAGGGGCAGATATGGATGGAGAAAAAGAAAGCAGAGGTGGTCAGAACCAAATTAGCACAGTGAAGTGGAAACTAAGAAAAAGGTTTTAAAGGAGAAGAAGGAAGGGAATAAAGATAGGAGTCAGGATAGCTGATGGAGCAAAGCCCTGAGGGAGGTGGGGAATAGGATCCAAAGTACAAGTAAAGGGCTACTCCGTCCTCAGAGATAGATTCATACTAAAAATGACTGGCTAGGAGAAAAGGCGGCTGCTTGTTGATCTCCAGTAAATAAGGAGAGATCCCCTGCAGAATAAAAGACGGTAGAGAGGGTGGGATTCAGGGTGTGAAGGTGGTGGGCCCAAGGAAGGTGGGGCTGGCAAGCTGGGGTCAGAAAGCCAGGTAGGCAGAAGAGGAAAGGACCAGGGCAAAAGAATCCCAAATCTTGATGAGGACATCAGTGAAATCTTGAGACTAAGGTTGGGGAGAAAAGCAAGTGGTGTCAGGAGACCAGTTGGGCAGGACAGCAAAGGAGGAATGATTGGGCCTGGACATCACCTCAGAACAGATTCAGTAACAGACAGCATTGTAACGAGGAGGTGCAAAATAGGAGGTTGTGAGCAGAGATTAATTGCAAGTGAAAGACCTTTGATGTGGAAAATTCCAAGTGATAATTGGGTCTAAAGCATGATCTTGCCTGGGCAACTGAGGTAGGAGGGGATATAGGTTGAGGAACTCTGAAGTCAGGTTGTTAGATGGGGCTGACGTTACTCTGATTTATTTAGGGTGGCCCTAAGACCTTTGGAAAACATAGACCCCTTCTCACCTTTTTCTAAGTCCTACAGAAAGGTCTAGCTTGGGTAAGTACCACTGGGGGAAGGGCGGGGGGAGGGCAGGAAACAAACATCTAAACATCTTTAGAGCCTTTAAAGATAACACCTAGAGTATCTCTAGAAGACTCCACCATGAAGCTGCTAGCTTTGATTGCCTCAGGGAAGGGACAGAGTGGGAAATACAGGTGGAACGGAGATTTTTCACTCTACATTTTTCTCTACCTTTTGAATTTCAAACTGTGTTAATGTAGCTACCTATTAGAACATAATAAAATGAAAATTTAAGCTGATATTATCAATGCGGATAATAACCAACTTGTTTAAAGCAATTTATGCTTTCCTTGTTCTTTCTGGTCCTGATAAAAAGATTAGTTTGATGGGTAGGGCTAATAAAAAGAATATGTAAAAGAGTCTGCTATTCATAATAACAATATTTTGCTAAGTTTACTTCAAGCATCGGGTCTCTGAACTTGATCATTCACCCCATTTCTGTTTTGCTTTTCCAGAATCATGAACTAATGGCAGTTACATCCAGCAAACTTAAGTGATTTTCACTGCAGCAATTTACATGTTTTCTCTTTTAAAATCTCACACCAGGCGTGAAAATCACATCTACCCTGCAAGTGCTGAAGCTGATCAAGCAGGCGGGGGACCGGGTGCTGGTGCACTATGAGAGGCCCGTCGGCCAGAGCAGTCAAGGCGCAGCACTGCAGGATAATTTGGGGCAGTTGGAAGACAACTTGCTGTCAAGCTCGTGCCAACCAAACTATGAAGAGGAAACCACTGGGCTGGCAGTAGATGCTGAAAATAGAGATTTGGATTCTGAATTTGAAGACCTGGCAAGTGACGTCAGAGCACAAAATGAGCTCAGAGATGAGGCTCCATCAGTAAGTCACAGCCCCAAACGTACTCCGACAACACTTTCCGTTAAACCTCTTGGAACCATATCACCAGTCTTAAACCGTAAATTAATTGTAGGAAGTCACCCACCACCACCAAAACCTCCATGTAAAGAGGGAAATAAACCCTTGGCCCTAAAAGCTTCTGAGATAACAGACCCAACACAAGTGTCAAAACCCACCCAAGGATCCACTTTCAAACCACCTGTGCCACCACGACCACAAGTGAAAGTTCCTTTGCCTTCTGCTGACACCCCAAGTCAGACAGAATCAGAGGTCCTCCCTGAAAAGCCAGAAAAGGTGCTGCCTCCTCCTCCTGCAGATAAACCTGCTGAAAAGCAAGCGAAAAATGTGGATCACCCAGAAGATGTAGCTCCATCTAAGCCATTTTTAGCAAAGCAAGAAGTGACGAGAGATTTTACTTCAGAAAGCTCCTGCCCTCCTAAAGACAGTTCAGATGACCTTCAGACGTGGGAATCATCAGAAATTCCTTACCGTAACAAGCTAGGAAAATGGACAAGAACCAGAGCAACCTGTTTCTTTGACATAGAAGCCTGCCACAGATACTTAAACATTGCACTATGGTGCAGAGATCCTTTCAAGTTAGGGGGTCTTATCTGTTTGGGGCATGTCAGCTTAAAACTTGAAGAGGTGGCTTTGGGGTGCCTGGCTACATCAAACATGGAATACTTCTCCAAGTTCAGACTGGAAGCCCCCTCACCTAAGGCAATGGTCTCGAGAACCGCGCTGCGCAATCTGAGTATGCAGAAGGGCTTCAATGACAAATTTTGCTTTGGTGACATTACCATTCACTTCAAATACCTGAAAGAAGGAGAACCAGACCACCCGATAGTTACTAACTCAGAGAAAGAAAAAGAACTCCATTTGGTCGAAGAGGTTTCTGCCCTACCTAAAGAGGAGCAGCTGGTTGGACAGATGGGTTTAACAGAAAATAAGCATAGTTTCCAGGATACTCAGTTCCAGAACCCAACTTGGTGTGATTACTGTAAGAAAAAAGTGTGGACTAAAGCTGCTTCCCAGTGTATGTTCTGTGCTTACGTTTGCCATAAAAAATGTCAGGAAAAGTGTCTAGCGGAGACGCCTCTTTGTGGAGCAACTGATAGGCGGATAGACCGGACTCTGAAAAACCTCAGGCTGGAAGGACAAGAAACCTTCTTAGGCCTGCCTCCTCGTGTTGATGCTGAAGCTAGCAAGTCAGTCAACAAAACAACAGGTTTGACAAGACACATTATCAATACGAGCTCTCGTTTGTTAAATTTGCGCCAAGTCTCTAAAACTCGCCTCTCTGAACCAGGAACTGATCTAGTGGAACCTTCACCAAAACACACACCCAACACATCAGACAATGAAGGCAGTGACACAGAGGTCTGTGGTCCGAACAGTCCTTCTAAACGAGGAAACAACACAGGAATAAAGTTGGTGAGGAAGGAGGGTGGTCTGGACGACAGCGTTTTCATTGCAGTTAAAGAAATAGGCCGTGATCTTTACAGGGGCTTGCCTACAGAAGAGAGGATCCAGAAATTAGAGTTCATGCTGGATAAACTGCAGAACGAAATTGACCAGGAGCTGGAACACAATAATTCCCTTGTTAGAGAAGAAAAAGAAGCAACTGAATCAAGGAAAAAATCCCTTCTTTCTGCTGCTTTGTCTAAATCAGGTGAAAGACTACAAGCTCTAACACTTCTCATGATCCACTACAGAGCGGGCATTGAAGATCTTGAATCTTTAGAAAGTCTGTCTTTAGACCAGCACTCCAAAAAAATAAGCAAGTACACAGATGATACGGAAGAAGACCTTGATAATGAAATCACCCAACTAATAGACTCCCAGCCATTCAGCAGCATATCAGAGGACTTATTTGGCCCATCTGAGTCTGTTTAACAGACAGCCCGTTTGAACTTTTCGAGTGATTTGGAAAAAGTTACATCTCGAGGAACACAGATAACCCGTGTGTAAGCCCTCTTCTGATGCACTTCGGCCTGCTTCTCCACAGCCATTTGCTTATGTAAAAACAAGAGTGAAAAAAGGTTGTTTTCCAGCAAAAACATGACCAGCTCACTAAATTGGTTGTTTTCAGATTGCATTTATAGCTGTGCTTTTTTGGGTTTATACTGGGAATTTATTTTTACTAATTTATTTTTAACTTTTTCTAATTATGTAATTATGTAAGCTAACTTTCCATGTTTATGTACATGTGATATCTCATTGTGTTATTTTCCTTCATCTTAGTTTTTGAAGGAGTGTTAAATAGAATACTGTCCAGATCCTTGAAATATTTTCATTTCCATCACGGTTACAACAAGTTTGCTGCATGCCCAAACTGACAACAGCAATCATTGAGGGAACAGGTTTTTGAATCTTTGTGTTAGGAAATTTGTCATCTCTATTTGCTTGAAGTTTTTGTTAATTTGGGGTTTCTGGGATGGTTTTTTGTTTTTGCCAAATGTAACGTAAAGCAGATGCTGCGCCTTTAGTCAGTTACACTGATTTAGTAAAAAAAATAATAATTTAAGCATATTGCTTGCTTTCTATCCTGTGAATTTTTTTCTAGTTTTTGTGCAGTTTTAGTGAGAATATAGTTATTAATTTGAAGAGGTTGCATTGAAAAACAAAATGTAATAGGGAATAGAGAATGCATTTGGTCAAGAATTTTGTAGAGAAGATTACTAAAAAACCAGTAACCAGTAGGATTTTGAAATATAATCTTTTGAAATGTTGATGCTTTCTCCTTTCAAATGGAAGTTCTGAACATTTGATTTTTTTTTTTTTTTTTTTTTTTTTTTTGTCTTCAGTTCTCCCATAGGCAATAAAGCATGTCAAGGATAAAGTTTCAAGGGGCCAGTTCTTAAAATGACCCAGTGTTGATAACTGGGTTTGGCTGTTTTGTTTTAGGAACATTTTCATGCAGGAGGATGCTGTAGAGGAAAGGAATCATGCAAGATAGACTTATTGCTTTTCCTCCATGCTGCAGGTTGAAGGAAGGGTGGTCATTCTGAACCCATTTATAGTTCAGTCTTTTGTTTAAGAAAAAAGAAAAATTAACAGTATAGATACATAGGAATTGGGATCAGTTCTCTGATAATAAAGGTCTATTCTGATACTTGGTCCTTTGTGTGGACCCCAGTGATATGTGACTGAAGGAAACCATGTGAGCGTGACCTCTGTTGGTGTATCATCAAAGTTTTGGCCTTTTATATGTCTATTTTCCTCTTGTAGGTATCTCCTGTGATAATGGACATATAGTAAAGATTAACTTGAATTTAAAGCTAGGTGGGACAGTTCCGCTAGCTTTTGGGAAGAGGCAGAGTTAGTGTAAGGTGTGATAGGGTTCTGGCTCAGGGAGACTCCAGACAAAAGTTTAAAGCCAAGCTCTTCCACTGGCCAGTAGTGAACTTTATAACCACAGGAGGTCCTATGCCTCAGTCTCCCCAGCTCCAAAGTAGGAATAAACAGTAACTACCTCACAGGATTGTTGTGAGGAAACAGAGCTGCAGAAGCTCTCTGAAGAGTAAAATGCGATTCAAACAAAAGGTATGACTCAAATGGGGGACAAAAACATTTTTGAAGGTAGAAAAGTTATTCTACTGTTACTAAGTGAAATATTAGAAAGTACCTTTATGGCCAAGTTGAAAACAAAAATAGATCTGTGTATCCCCTTTTTTGTTAAGCATGCTTGCATTTTGAAAGAACACTGCTACAGAGGTCTATACACCAACGGCTCTGAAAGCTAAAAAAAGTTTTGTAACGTGCTTGAAACAATCTGCCCAATGTAATCACCAACTTTTACCTTAACAAAAAATAACTTACCGGTGATGACCTGGAAGGCCAGGCGTGTGGATGGATGACACCACAGAAGTTATAGTGACATCCAAGCCTGCTGCTGAAACCGATGCATTTGAAAGAGCTGCAGAAATAACGCAAAATTTTGGTTTCATAAAAATCTCCTGTTTTAAAAGTATTTAACTCTGTAGAACCACAATTATGAAAAGCTCAGTAATGCTGCTAATGATATTTGTAAGATCTACCTTTAATGTAGTGCAATATTTTTATATCTACTGGGACAGGCGGTAGAGGCCTCACAGTCGTGCTTTAGTGCAGGGGAGGGGGGATCACTCCAAATAGCCTAGGGGATAGTGAGGTTAAGGCCTCCGTGGAAACAGTTGTATTCTATTACATTCCTGATGTAATCTTGCTGCCATGCTATGTTATCAATAGCTAAAAAATAATAAAAAGAACTACCACAGAAAACAAGAATATCTTCATTTGCTACCATCTGAAAGAGATGATTGCTGCCTTTTCTGGAGTGACCGCCTGGTAGAGCTGGGCCGTGCATACAAGCTCTTCACCAAGTCCACTTTCGCTAAACAAAGTTGCTATTTTGAAATTTGCCGAAAAGCATTAAATTCTGGTTTCGCTATTGTTTTTCTAAACTGAAATCTCAGATGTATTGATCAGCCCTGCTACTTATTAAGAATTAGACTATTTTCTGTATTTCTGGTATTTAGGTGAAGAACTAGGTTAAACAATCAAGCTGAACAATATTTTAGCACTGAGTCAGAATTAATATGCTACATTTCCTAATACCGAGCCCTATACTTGAGGATCAGAATAGTTGAAACACTATTGGCCATTTTATGATTTTGAGAGGAGGAAACAAGCTGAAGATTGGAGGGTTCTGTCAAGCTCTAAGTTTATCTGGATTTTTTGAAAGGCAGGTTGAAAATACTTGGCTCCTGATTATAAGGATGAGATCTCTAATTTCCCTAAAAGTGAATAAATTTAAAATCACTTTAAAAATGTATTGTCTTTCTTTCTAAATTGAAATAATAGCTTTTCTTTAAGAGAAGGGTTTAGAACCCCTCTAAAATCTGAGTAAAACTGCAGTTCTCACACCTGTGAGTCTCACGCCTCAAAGAGACCCACGCACATACCCTGAGTTGTCTGGATTTCAGGGCCCTGTGCCCTGTGGGCTCACGTGCAGAAGAGTTTAGTTACTCCCATCAGATACGGTTATTTGTTCACGGCAATCAGGAAAACATCGTGACTCTAGAAATGCAGGGGCAACTTACTGGGCGTCTCCACATTGACACCATGGGACTAGTTACAGATTTCAGTTCCAGGCCAGTTTTGCAAAGCCAAAAAGTACGGTTCAGACTAACCTGAACTTTACCTGATGCCTGCAAGCGGAGAAGAATAGTCTTTAATTAGATTTTCAGTCAATACCTGGTGCTTTTTATTCCAGCGATCATGTCTGGTTTATAAAGGAATACAAACAGGCACGGTAGTGTTCAGAAGATTTATTAAGGAAACGAGCTAAAACATGTATGCACATACACTCAGCAGTCAAAAGAAAAAACTGAATATTCTTTGCTACTTCAGTGTTTCCGTATCTACTTTGCCAGGTACAAACAGAAAAACCCATCTTTGCTCAAACATTCAGGGAGCTGTATATTCACGGTTAAGATGATACACACGTTAAAAGGGGAAAAAAAGCCTCACTTCACAGTCCTGCTAACCCCAGAATTTTAGTCCTACCTATAAAAGACCTTGTCATTTTCCCCCTCAGATAAAATTGATACTTTTGCTCCCCAAAACAGTTCTGAAAAACCTCACATATCTTTTTATGCTCGTTCTAGAGAGCAACAGTGGCCATGCCTCTGCCAATCATTCTCAAAGAACTGAAGTCTCAAAGGCAAGAATGAAATTGGAGTAAATCGTACAGTACTGTGGTCAGGGAGAGCCACAAACCCTCTAAGAGAAGTCTCCCCTGTGGGAGTAGAAAACAATCCTGCTGGTTACGTTAGCCATATGAGAGTGCTTCTAGAGCCATCTTTCAAAGTCACAGACTCGTGCAAGTTGCCCAGTGCAAATGTGTGAGTAGGAAACTTGTCTGCTTCCACCACACTGCCCCTGAACACCAGATTTCCAGTCACCCCAAGAAGCTTCATAAAGCAAATGGGAAATAGCAGCTACTCTCTTAGAGAATGACGAGGTCGAGTCCTTGTTCTAAAATTCCTTGCTCCTTGTCCAAGTTAACAGAAACACAACTTTAGCTTAACGAAATACAGACATTAGGTAATTTTTGTTGATTGCAGAGCTACAGAATTAACAAGTATTATCTGAGACATTCTACACTCCGCACACTCCAGTCACATCTCGCATAAAACATGACGACAACTGACAGTGCTAACACAGTATTTGCTGAGGAACTGAAAAGGCACGTCAATGTTGTCATGCTTAGGAAAACCACATTATACACAGCACTAGATGATAGAAGGATACACAGACATTTCTAGATGTTTCTAGGGTTTTTCTGTCTCTGAAGGGAATGTGTCCTGACCTATTATTTTTACCTGTTTTCCTAACGTGATTCAAGATAATTTCATTCTTCCTCCATCTTCATTTAAAATTTGTTTTCACATTGATGTGAACAACCTTCAGAAGTCTAAAAATAATAGTTGCAATTCAAAACTTAATAGATTGCTAGAAGACACTTGGATAACCTCTTAACAGGTTAAAGATCTAGTCAGATTTTTTCACATCACAGCAGCTATTAGGCTTTTAAATGTCTAAAAGTTGAACTAGATGTTGATGTATCTTACCACGCTTAAATAACCTTGACAGTATAAGGTGTGTCTACCCTCAATTTTCTTTCCTCCTAAGACAACCAAGTATATATTGGAAAGGGAAAGCTAGTTGTTCACAACTGTACTTCTGGGTGCTTTTCTCTGCTTTCACAACATTTACTATTTTTCCCTATTGCCTTTAGTGTCTGCTGCCGGCCACATGACATGTGAATTTATAATTTACAACCATCTGTTTCCAGGTAGATGATTGCATAGAAAACTAATGCCAGCTACAATTTATGGGTAAGTCCAAAAGAGACGGACTCAAGTTCCTGTCCTCTGCATTTGAGAAAACTAGCTTTTAGCTCATAAATCTACGCATCGTAATTACAAGGTAACCACACTCAGTGTCACGACATCATATGCTGTCTCATTTGACTGTTTTTCAGACTTCCTTCTAGCTTCTCAGTGTTGGAAGTGTCTCGGAGATAATGTGTGCTTTAATTTTAAACACTCATTACCAATATTCAGAAAAAATATAAGATTTTTTTTGCCCAAGTGTTCATGAATGTAAGTTTTTTTAAAAATTATATTTGATTTGGATTCAAATATTTATAGATTTACACTATATCTATTTCGTCAAAATATATTGTATAATATTTAATAAAATCAAATACATAAAATAAAGTTTTCAACACTATTTATACAAACCCCTAGAAAAGCTGCTTTTTCTTTATAAGGCTGCTGGCAATCACAACCACGGAGAAGAATGAACAACCTGTGGTGGTTTCGCTTTCACCAGGGATGAATGGTATGACTAAGACAGTTCCGGAGGAGTCATTTCACTGGAAACACGGTTTTGTACAATTAAATTTGATGACTTTTGAGGATCTCAGTCACTTTCAGATTCTTCATCATCACCTATCGGATACGAC